GGCTTTGACCAACGTCAGATCGATGCAGAGTATCCTTGCAGCCCTTCAAACCACGGTCTCTGGTTTAGTTAGCCTGCCCACAGCCTTCACCGAGATGCAGAAATCCATCGCAGCACTGACCAGCGCTGTCCAGCAGGTTCTGACCGACAACTCCTGTGAGCCATTCGGACAGGGACGACGCAGGGATACCGAGCCGCACCAGCGCCACACTGAGGATTCCATGGTTCCACGTTTTTCTAAATTGGAGTTTCCCCAATATGATGGAAAAACTGAACCCTTGTCATGGCTTAAACGCTGCGAACGGTTCTTTATTCAACAAAGAATCCCTCCCCAGAACCGAGTTGGTTTAGCTACTTTTCACATGGTCGGTACTGCCCAACTATGGGCCGACCAGTTAGACTCTGTGGGTACTGGAGTCACTTGGACTGAGTTTTATACCAAGTGCTCAAAACGTTTCGGACCGCCAGGCAGTGCCAATCCAGAAGGTGACCTAGCCAAGCTGCGGCAGACATCAGACTTGGAATCCTATATTGAAACGTTTCAGCAATTGTTGGCACACACAGTTGGCATATCAGTCCGAATGCAAGTCAAAATTTTCACTGCCGGGCTACGTGATTTGGTGCGTATGGAGGTGGAGTATCAGGACCCCCTTGATCTTGACTCTGCCATGATGTTGGCTCGGACCGTTAAGCGGAAGTACCAAACTCCGCTTACCACTACTGAACCTTCAGGACGGACCCAACCATTGACTAGTCCGATCACGTCAGCAACGACACTTACTGATCCCAATTTTTCTCGTCGTAGTTCTAATCCAACTTTCAAAAAAAATTCCCGCGCCGAGGCAGCCATACGACGTGAAAAAGGGCTATGCTATAATTGTGATGACCAATGGGTACGCGGCCATCGTTGTAAAAGGCTGTTCTTTGTGGAAATTGTGGAGGATGACCAACTCGAGGAGGATCACAGGCCACATACCGAGACTGAACCCACATTGTCACTCCATGCAATGACTGGATTCGGCTCGTCCTCCACTATGCAGATTCATGCTACCCCTCCAGGACCGACCCATTATTATTTTAGTAGACTCGGGTAGCACTCACAATTTTGTGCATGAGCGTTTGGCAACCAACCTTCAAATTCAACCCCTGCGTAATAACCGGCTGCATGTCATTGTGGCTAATGGTGACAGAGTCCCTATAATCGGCACATGTCCTCGCTTGGAGTTTGACGTCCAAGGTAAGACCTTCAGCGCAGGCTTTTACATATTACCACTTGCTGGTTTTGACATGATACTAGGAGTTCACTGGTTGCGTGGACTCGGCTCAATTCTGTGGGATTTTACACGCTTATCCATGCGTTTTACATGGGATGACACCTCTATTGAGTGGCGTGGGCATGATAACTCCCCTCTGCTCACAACCAGTATGGCAGTAGGCCTGGCCCAAGCACCTCCTTCTCTGGACGGCCTTCTTGTCCAGTTTGGGGACCTCTTCCAGACACCGGTAGGGTTACCGCCAAACAGGACATGTGACCACCGCATACGCTTACTGCCAGGAGCGGGACCAGTGGTCGTACGTCCTTACCGTTATCCGTACCTGCAAAAAGATGAAATTGAACGTCAATGTGCAGAGATGCTCACTCAAGGAATCATCCAGCCGAGTCGATCCCCATTCTCCTCACCTGTATTGTTGGTCCTTAAATCTGACGACTCGTGGCGGTTCTGCGTGGACTACAGGGAACTTAATTCCAAGACAGTCAAGGATAAGTTTCCTATACCGGTGATCGATGAACTTCTGGATGAGCTTCATGGCGCGTCATATTTTACCAAGTTGGATCTTCGTTCGGGGTACCACCAGATACGTATGGCACCCGAGGACGTCGAAAAAACCGCTTTTCGAACACACCATGGACATTTCGAGTTTCTTGTTATGCCATTTGGCCTCTCTAATGCACCATCCACTTTTCAGAGTTTAATGAATGACATTCTTGGTCCTTATTTAAGGAAGTTTGTCCTTGTATTTTTTGATGATATTCTCATTTATAGTAAATCTTGGTCTGCCCATGTCGCTCATGAACGCCTTGTATTGGACGTCTTGCGTACCCATAATTTGTTCCTTAAAAAGTCCAAATGCAGTTTCGGAGCGACTTCGGTTAACTACTTGGGGCATGTTATCCATGCTGGTGGAGTGGAAGTTGATCGCACAAAGATCCAAGCCATCATGGATTGGCCTACACCGCAATCTGTCACGGCCTTACGCAGCTTCTTGGGTCTGGCTGGGTACTACAGGAAGTTTATTGCGCGATATGGTGAAATTGCAGCTCCCCTTTCCACACTCCTCAAGAAGAATGGGTTTGACTGGTCAGCAGCAGCAAACTCCTCCTTCTGCCAATTAAAGACTTGTTTATCCACTGCCCCAGTCCTTCAACTTCCAGATTTTTCTAAGGAGTTTATCGTCGAGTGTGATGCATAGGGAAGTGGGTTTGGTGCAGTGTTGCAGCAAGATGGCCACCCGATTGCCTATTTTAGCCGGAAAATAGCAGACAGGCATATAAAATTGGCGGCCTATGAGCGAGAATTGATTGGTCTCGCTAAGGCAGTTACGCACTGGAGGCCGTACCTATGGGGTCAACATTTTTTGATACGTACAGATCATTCCAGCCTGAAATACTTACAAGACCAACGACTCACCACATCTCCACAGCAACATTGGCTGAGTAAGTTGATGGGTTTTACGTTTCGTGTTGAATATAAACCCGGACGTTTCAACACAGTGGCAGACGCACTCTCCCGACAGAATGAAACTCCACCCATGCTCAACTCACTCACTGTGCCGCTATCGACACTACTAGATGAGGTTCGGACTGCCCAGGCAGCATCCCCGGAGATTGAGGCCATTCGACAACAAGTGTTGGCCAGTTCCACTACAGAGGACTGGAAATTTCGAGACGGGTTGCTTTACTATAAACATAAATTGTATTTGCTGGCCTCATGCCCTATTATTTCCACATTACTGTCTCTGTTCCATGGGATGGCCCATGAGGGCATTGCAAAGACATTACATCGCTTACGCAGAGAATTTTATTGGCCAAACATGAAGCTCACAGTGGCCCAATACATACGTGACTGTCAAGTTTGCCAACAGCATAAGTGGTTAAACCTACAGCCCGCAGGTTTGCTTCAACCGCTCCCCATTCCGCAACACATTTGGGCAGATATTTCTATGGATTTTATTGAGGGTCTACCAAAAGGGAAGTCGGTTATCCTTGTTGTGGTGGATCGATTGTCTAAGGCAGCCCATTTTATTCCATTAGGTCATCCTTATACTTCTGTGTCTGTAGCAGGAGTATTCTTTGCTGAAATCGTCCGTCTTCATGGTTTACCTGAGTCTATTGTATCGGACCGTGATAAGGTTTTCATCAGCGCATTTTGGCGTGAATTATTTCGCTTGGCCGGGACAAAATTAGCCTTCTCCTCGGCCTATCACCCACAAACTGACGGCCAAACAGAGATCGTTAACCGCACTGTGGGCATGTACTTGCGCTGCTTAACGAGTGATTACCCTCGGGAATGGGTTCGTTGGCTTCCATGGGCAGAATACTGTTACAATACTTCTTATCATACAGCATTGGGTGATACCCCATTTCGTATTGTGTATGGACGTGACCCACCCAAACTAGTTGCACATACTCCGGGAACAGCCCAATTAGAAGGGGTCGAAAGGGAGCTCATTGATCGTGATATCTTGTTAGCTACAGCAAGGAATCGGTTAGCACAAGCCCAACAACGAATGAAGCAACAATTTGACAAAGGTCATCGTGATCTAGCATTCGAAATAAGGGACTGGGTATGGCTTCGGGTGCATCCTTATCGGCAGGTGTCATTACTCAAGCGCCATCATAAGCTCTTACCTCGCTTTTATGGGCCATTTCAGGTGCAGGCGAGAATTGGGGCAACTGCCTACCAGCTTCTATTACCGGCAGATTGTCGTATTCACAATGTTTTTCATGTGTCCCTACTCAAACCCCATCACGGCCCGGTTCCACAAAATATAAGAGATTTGCCACCACTGGATGACCCTCGTTCCGCACTTCAGCCAGCAGCAGTTCTCCGCAGTAGGAAGCATGACGGCCGGGTAGAACTTCTGGTCCACTGGCAGGGGCAGCTTAAGGAAGAAGCTTCGTGGGAGTCACTGGATACATTCCAATCCACATTTCCTGACTTCAAGCTTGAGGACAAGCTTTTCATTCTATGGACAAGTATATCAACGAAGGCCTGGGTGAAAAGATTTAGGAAACTTAGTTGGGCCAATCGAGAAGGATCAGGGTGATTTACGTGGCTGACTGGAAGGCTAAGGGAAAGCTGGCAGCATTTAATTAAAAAGATCCTAGTTATTTCCCATTCATAGTTATTTCCTTATTTAATTAGGAAAGCTGGCAGCATTCAATTAACTAGATCCTAGTAATTTCCAATTCATAGTTATTTCTTTATTCAATTAGGAAACTTCCTATTATCCTTATGCTTCCTATTAGGACTCTTGTAATCTCTATTTAAGGAGCCTAATATTGTTTAATAAAGGAGCTTGGGAGAATTAATTTGTTGTGTCTTGACTAGGTCGGGCACGGGTTAATTCCTAAAGACTTTTCATATTTATTCTCTGCTTTATTCAATAATCTTAGTATAACAACATTGATACTAAGGTCTCAGTAGGCTCTTCTTCTGTCCTGAGATCTCGTTTGAGACCTTGGACAAGGTCTTATATGTGAGTTCTTAACAGATTGTTCCATTTTACCTTTTCGGTTCGTCCCACTAAGATTGTCTCATACCTTATTTGGTAAAATTTATGTGGTTCTAAATCATTCTTACTTTATTCTTACTTTATCAATTCAACATCAACCCCATAAATCCACTTTTATTAATAACCGTGTCACCTTCTCTTGTACCAAACTTAGGGGGACGAAGGTAGTATATACAAAGTATAATAAATGAATTTGATTGAGCAGGAAGGTTCAAGAGGATTCATGTCAGGAAAGAAATTGATTTTTGGCTGCAGAGATAGAAGTTACGCTGGAGAAGACGATAGGTTTCAGGGTTTCTTCACTCCCTGTTTTAACTAATAAAGAAAACGTTACTGTTTTGGGATCGGCACACCATGCTCATGGTGGGCCGATCCCACGGTATAAATTGCGATGTATACATTGCCAGATATAATGTTTCATTCTAAGATGCCAACTAATACAACAATATCTTATCCTACATGGCTACATTCCTACTAGTACTAGACTACTAGTACCGATGAACTTGAGAGGCTCAATGATTTTATTACGTGCTGTTTTGTTTAAAAGCATTGCATGAGGAAGACCCAGCGGTTTGCTTGAAGTACAATCAGTGATGAGCACCAATTTTCCAGATCCAGTGATGCATGAAAATCTCTAGTTTAGCTGTTCATCCTTTCCGGAGTAATGATAACGGAAAACACATGAGAAGTCTTTGTTCTCATAACCATCATCACATAGCTTTGCATATCTGGTTGGGAATTTTTCTTAGACATTTAGTCAATGTGCACTATGATTATCGAGCAACATTTATATGAAAAGGAGGATTACATGCATTAGCTGTAATAAAAACAGTTGACAGGAGTTGTACTGGTGGAAAGCCAGAGAGGTGCATTGTTTCAACATCCTACAAAGTATACTACTCGTGTCCTATTTCAATTGTCACTGGTAACTTCCTTTTTGTGTTGTTCCAAAATAATATCTACTTTTCTAATATTAACGCCACTAATTGGCTACCTAATCCCACTATCCTACATGAGGTATAGAGAAAGATAAACATATAGGACTTCACTTACCTAATTGATTGGATTGAATCTTTGAGTGTGACTAAACTCAAGTTTTATTCCAGATGGCTGATCCTAATCTAATCCTCAATCCTCTCCCCGTATGACTTTTAAACACGACTTGATTGTGTGCACCAAAAGTAAATCTGTTAAGATGGAAGGAATAATAAAGTTCGAAACAAAGGCATACATTTCTTCTGCTTGTGATGCCAAAGGGAAACTGAGACCCACACTCTTAGCTGATGCCTTGGCAAGGTTTAAATCTTTAAGCTGAAACCAAAGAGAGGGCAACACAATACACTCATGAGAAATAGATATAGTTCCTTCCAAATCTAATCCTTCAACTGTGGCATTGTTCTACTTTTAATCCAGACGTTAAAATTTTCAATATTTGCTCTCTCGGCTATTTGTACAATTGTACATGTATCATTGTAGACTTAAATTGTTAAACTCAATAACTGGGTATGCTACATTATCAAGAGTGGATAAACCTATTTAGACTGATTTTAAACTTGATAACAATATTTTAAAAAAAAAAAAGTGATCTGATCTGGAACAGTTCTCGGAATAAATACAATATTAGAACAAAATGGAATCACACGACGTATGATTTTCAAGGAAAGTGTTTATTGTTTGTACAAGAGCAAGATTTCTTTTACACGCACATAATAATAAAAAAACATGTTGTGCTACACTGCTACATACCATCAACTTGGACGTGAAACCTCCCTCATAATTCCTTGAAGAGGGCACCCCATCCATTACACCAGGAACGGGGTTATATGTGTCACTGTCATTGCATTCTCATAAATGGAGTGAAGGACACAGTCCATACAAAGTAATAAATCAAAATAATATGATCAACAGAAATCTAGGCATCCACTACACATCATACGCAACATGCGAAAGCAAATAAGCAACATAGAAAGTCTTCTTCGACAATACATCTCCATGTTCTTTTCAAGCGGCTCTATTATGAGATGAGCCTCTCTAGTCTCTATCGCTATGTAAGTAGAAGAAAAATGTTTTCCCTTCGTGAAGGGTTTTCTACGGCAAAGTAAGATCTCAAACCCTTGGTGTTGGCAGCAACATATTTTACCCCTCAACTAAAATTTTTATGCTTGTATGCCTAAGGTTTGAACACATTGCTTCAAAAGAGATACTCCATTCATTTTGTCAAAACACGTGTCTTCTTACTCTGTTTCGAATTCATGTTCTTTACTAGTAATAAGATATTATTACGGAGTGTTCTAAACTTTGAGGCTTGAATTCACCAAGTACTTTGCTACTAATTGTGTAAAGTTGGTTGGCAATCTTTATACTAGCAGAGCACCCACCAAATAGCTTTTTGTCTATAAAATTCAAGTCTGGTTGGGCATATACCAAGTTGGAAGGCAGTACGGGCTAAATTAAACATTTTACTGCATTTTAAAGTTATAAGTTATAAATGCAGATTGGCAGAGGCATACAATACAGCGAGAGAGTATTTTTTTGTGTGCATAAGTATCTATTAAAAATTAGTACACATAAAAGTGTATAGCAATATAACATATCTATCTTTTGTACTTTGTAGGAAACTAATTGCAACTAATACCTGCTCCAACAGCGGGCACTGGAAGAATTAAAAACTTGTGTGAGAGTACTTGATGTGATCCCTAGAGACTGTCCAAGGGAAAATGCTTCAGATACCCCAAGCATACTTACTGCCATTGCCAAATTGTTGCAGACTTTTGCTGTCTGACAAAAGTTAAAAAGGAGAACTATTATCTACCAAGACGAAGTTTGCTTAAACCGCATTAATACAAAATGGCAATGAGGCCTTCCAGTGGAGATTTAATCATGTCAGACTCAACTGTGCACGACTGCCTGCTCCATGATTCATAAAATAGTTTGATTGTTCTACTTTAAACTTTGGATTTCGGGGTAAGGTTTGTACTTCATATCAGTTAGGTAACCTACTGTCAAATTGGTGTCATAACTCGTAATGCATAATCATTCACATCCACTTGCAGATTAAGTTTCTAGCTAATAGAACCATAATGAGGGACTGACAATGATATCATAGGGTAAGTAAATTAAAAAAAAAAAACAGATTTGAATATAGTACAGAAACATACTACACCATTTCCAGATCCACCACAATAAATGGTGCTTTTTCCCATTGACAGAAGCAAGGGCTTTGCAGCTATGTAAGCTTCTTCCAAGCCACCAACCTAAACACCATGCCATATTTTGTTAATCAGTTCAAATGATGAAAAAGAATATGTTGAAATGGAGCAACCATTACTAGTTTAGCTAGGAAAAACTTATTCTCCAAAAACACAACAGCAGCCACTACAGAGAATTCTCTGCTTCATTCAACTTCAATCACTTAGAAGACAAAACATAGATACCATGAAAGTAAGATTTCCAGTCTCTGCAGCAAGAACACCACCTGACACAGGAGCATCGAGCATGGAAGGAGCATGCTGGCCATCTACAAACAACAACATCCAAGCCTAAGTCCCAAAAGATTTTGGGTCGGCTAACATTAATCCTATCTTCTAACAATTGCATGGGTTAGGCGGTTAGTAGGGAAGTTTTCCCATTTATCAAATTAATACACCATAGGATCATTCAAATGGATGGTTAGGATTAATTTGCACTTTGTAAATTAAGATGGGTTTGTATGTGATCCTAAATCTATATATATATATATACATATATATATAGATATATAGATATAAAGACAAAAGGATTAAAAAATTACAAGAAGAAAAAGAAGATGAGGGGAAAACGATGATAAGAAATCACTTTGCCACACGAATATCTGCCCTCCACTTTGCTCTCTCCAAAGTCATACCCTCATCCAACCCAAGAAGAAGCATATCACTCCTGACTCCTCTAATCCACGTTTGTTTGGGTCTTCCTCTCCCTCTTTCCTTGCCTCTTCTCCACACCTCTCAACTCATCTAACAGGTGCATCACTCGGTCTTCTACGCAGATGATTAAACCACCGCAAGCGAGACTCCAGCATCTTATCTTCAATAGGTGTTATTCCCACCTTTTTCTAATTGTCTCATTCCTCAAGCGATCCTTTCTAGTATGTCCACACATCCTACGCAACATGCGCACCTCCGCCACACTCATCTTTAGAATGTTACATTGTTCACAGCCCAATACTATACGCCATACATTTCATCCACCCTGTTTTCTGATTCTATGGGATACATCTCCATTTAATTCACCATCCTATAAAGGAAAATTTTGACTTGGCTAAAAAATTAAAATGGTGCGGACATCTCGCTTACAAAACTAGCATTATTAACCACAAGGAGTTAAATCGAGATTTGGCTACTTGTTGGCATTATAAGGTTGAAGACCACAATCTTGGAATTGGTAAAAAATCATATTCTAAAGAAACTGGGAATCGAGGAGCATAACAAGCCATCTCCTATGCTTTTGTCAACTGATACATGAGCTTATAACCATGTGGAGGTCGTCAATGATTTCAAAATTCATATGTATAAATATATAATTGTAAAACAAAAACTGATCGAGAATTTGTAATTTAAAAAATGTGTCAAATCCCTCTGTGTTATAATTATTCATGTGCAAAAGTCCCTCAATGAACACATTTAATTGCAAAGTAAAAGAAAAATGATTAATATTTTTGCATAATGTAGAGATCTGGACAAATTTACTTGCATGAATAATTTACTTTAAGACAAGTGATTTTCAAACTGTTAAATTTGTTCTTGGAGGGGGTTTTGCGCATGAAATTTTTTAACAAAGGGGGATTTGATGATTTTTTTAAATCACAGGGACTAATGCACTAATGCACGGAATTTATATGTCATGAGGGGGTTTGATGTATTAAATCCAAACTGATAGTGTGTGGAGTGAAAAGAGAAAAAAGTGATGAAGATGCATCAATATTTTGAGCCCATTTCATAGCATCAAAAGGGTGTACCCCTTTACTCTACAGATGGAGAATTAAAATTAAGAAAAGAGAGGAAACCAAAAATAGGACTCAAAACGTCTAACCGCAAGAGTACTATACTGTTTATAGTCAAATGTCATTTACAAGTGCCATGTGAATAGCTCAGCTTTATGCATCACAAGCTATTACAAATTTCCAGAGAATAACAGAAGAATGTAAGAATAGGAGACAACAACTGTGTGATAAATTTAGCTAAATGATATGAAAATGTCACGAAACAATGTTGGAGCATCCAATCAAGAAGGGTATAGATAGCGAGCTATAAATCTGAAACATGAAGGCATTATTTGTTCATACTTCACATTGACGTACCTTTCTTCTTTTTCAAAAAGCAGTCAGAGACTGCTGCAAATACATTTCTTGATGTTTGAGGGTCAATTGTAGAAGAATCTATAAATAACCAAGGCCTTACTCGATTTCTACCGGTGAGCAAACCATCTGCTCCAGTATAGACATCAAGTACCTAAGAAAGTAATGTTAACTTTCCTTAATGGGCTGTGGAATTAATGGAAAAAATAATAGTACAAAGTAACAAACCTGAAGTAAAAAAGTACCAACTCTATACATTTACCAAAATAGTATAATACTATAATAGCTGATAGCAAGCATACTCTAATAGTCTTTTATAGCCAAGCAGAAAAGAAAAGTTATTCAGACATGAAGATAGACCAAATTGGACACTATTGTCAGATGACAATCTCATTTTTTACATTAACAGAATGGACCAAATTGGACACTATATTTACATGTAAATCTCATATTGGTCGTTAATTAGCACCCCCAAAGTTTTCCATCCTCTGTCAATGAAAGCCATTAGTATTCTTTTTCCTTTGTTTTTTATACCTAAAATTAAATTAATTAATGTACTTAGTTTAAAAATATATAATTAGATGTTCCAATTAAGAAAATCCCATTAATAATACACCATATAGTGTAACTATTTTTTTTTTAATTTCGTTAATTCAATTTAACAAATTGATACATCCCAAAGTTCCAAAAAGATCATATGAAATAAAAAGTCCAAAATGTATTTACAACTTTTTAAATATGATATGTTATTAATTAAAATATCGACACCAATTCCACCAATTAAGATAGTTTATTGACACCAAAAAAAGAAAGGAAAAACAAGAATGCCGATTTCTATTGATGAAAGAAGATGATTGTGAGTGTCCAAAAATGACCAAAAATGCTAGAATCGTGTATTTGAATCATTTGAAACCTTAGTGGCCAATATGAGATTCACAGGTAACCATAGTGTCCAATTTGGTCCAAATGATGGAGATATGCAACAATATGAGATTTACATGTAACCATATTTCCAATTTGGTCTTCCTCCGTTCATATATTCATTGACGGAGATATGGAATGGCACATTCATGCTTCCCTAAAAAACAAATGATATATGAACGCTGCCAAAACTTGCAACATAATGGCTTGGAAAGATACCTTCATAATGTCTCACATGTACTGTTTATCTATATTTCTCTTTACTCTCTCTCAGAATAGAAATCAGATCTAAATGGTCCTTCCAGTAAACCTAAAGGACATGTGAGCTGGACCAGACTCATTAGGCCTAGCTTTGCATTACACAAACAGAAGGAATATCTAAAGCAATCTGAATTCAAACTTTTAAGTAGCTTTAGCTCTCCATGTCTTTCCCCTCAATAATTCTACCAGAATTACATTCTGACTCTGTTACTCAAAAGTGTAACCCCTGGTTCATGGAAGGCAATATTTTGTTGTCGTGTTTTGAATTATTACAAAAGATAGGAAATCATGAATGTGACCTCACACAGAGCCTTGGCAGTAGGCACAAAGGTATGTTGTTCCTTATGAAAGAGTTTGAGATGAGTTATTTAGTTATTTTCAAAGAATAAGTGCTTTTTATAGAAAAAATGTACTTTTATTTTAAAAAGGAAGTGCTTTGTCAGGAAAATGGGGAAAATCCTTATAACAATAAAAACAATTTTTAATGCTTATATATGAAAACAGCAAACTGATGTTATTCAGAAAAGAATATAAAATGATTATATGAGAAAGCACTTATGATAAAATCACTTTAAGTGTACATAAATTATAATTTATGGGTCTATGCCTGATTTTCCCTGAATGCATGAGAAAACCGCCTTGTCTATAATGATATTTCATATAAAATGAATGATAGATCATTGCTCTACATGTTTTTTCTTATGGCAGTATAAGATGGCCAATATAGCAAAACTTAAAATAACAAATGGCAGTATAACTTACATGGTTTGATGAAGGCAACATTGTAATTACAACATCAGTTGACTCTGCAAGTTCATTAGGTGATGCTTTTGTAGGAATTCCTTTGTCAGAAAACCTCTTCAGCACATTCTTGTTGCTTGAATGTAACAGAAAATGAATAAGAAAATAGTCAAAGAAAAGCTTCCACCAGCATAATATTGGATACAATTGAATACTTGGATGTGAATATTAACAAGCATGCAATGTGAATGGAAATTTGCATAGATATAAAGCATATCGTCATTGGCCTACAGAACAATCCAGGCCCCATGTTACCCATGTCTGGTCAAAAAAATTGTGTAAAATTTTTACTATAAAAATACGAACTACATTATTTTCTTCACCCACTCAAATTTGTATTTAGTTAAACCCTGCATCTGCCAATTGTAGAACATTTCTTCCTAAATTGAAAGACATAACTGTCCCTTTTCTCATATGCAAGTCACTCTTGTGGAGTGTGGACTCAACTTGGAATTGACAGTCAACAAAAAAAGCTATGAATAACTTATTATAAAACTGCTCAATATAGGACCAAAACATAGGTAAAGTTCAAAAATAGGATTACGTATGCTTTGTTCCCCAAATAGGACTTATTAAGTCCTATTAAAAGAATAAGCTGATTAAAACTTCCCGAAATAGGAGTAAATGAATCCTATTTTGAGAATCAAATAATGGTAGTCCTATTTATGAACTTTATCCATGTTTTAGTCTTATTTAGGGAATTTTCTGTAACTTATTTTCCTGACCCGCCCAAATTTGAATTCAGTGGAGCCCTGCCTCCTCCTATTGCAGAATATCTCATCCTAAAATTGAAAGAAATAACCGTTCCCTATCTCATATGCTAGTCACAATTGTGGACTCAACTTGGAATTGGCAGTCAATAAAAAAGTGCACATAGAGAGTACAATATGGATTTATACAGGGAAAAAAACAAATGGCATTACATGTCGTGAACAGAAACATCATATCCGGCATTTATCAAATTATCAGCCATTCTTGATCCCATGTTCCCTAGCCCTATAAATCCAATCTTCTGTAAAAAAAAATTAAACATAAAATGCAAGGAATTCATAATTTAAACCCAGATTATGCTAGAACTTCATAATTAAAACTCTGAAATTCAAAGCCATTGTTGTAAATGAACACAAATTGCGAGAGAGCCAAACTAGCAATATTTAGTGTTTGTGACTGGTGCGTCAAAATATGAGGAGTCTACTTGCACAATTGCATCAGAATCACTGATCAAAGACAGGATCAGCCAGCAAGGGTAAGGACCCAATGCTCATACGGAGGACACCCTTATTTATAGAGACATGCCATTTAAAAAAAAATGGATTTATGAAAATTAAAGAAATATAAATAAATAAATAAATAAATAAATAAATAAATAAATAAATAAGATTACGCATCAGTTTAGAATTATGTGATATATGATCATTTTGAATCTTCTTAACATTTCATAAAGAAATAGTAGAGTAAGGGGTCCATTCGAGTCGAGTTGAGTCAGAGTAGTGTAATAAACATGCTTGAGCTTGAAGCATTGTGAAGCTACCCAAACTGAACTCAAACTCGATCAAGTAGATCGTTTTGTACTTGAACTTGACTCAACAAACTAAAGAAAACTTGACACTCAACAAGAAAACTTGAATTTTGTGCAAGCTTTGATAAAAAAGTGTGTTTATTTATAAAATTGAAACCACGTTTTTTTAAAAAGTGCATTCTTTACAACTGCTTAATAATGTATGTAGTAGCTTATCATAAAAGTGCATTTCACACGTTAAGAACATTTTTTATTTGATCCACATGATACACACACACACACATATATGAAGCACAAAGACTCTAGTTTCCGTTTTGAGAACTCTTTGGAATCTCTCTAAATAGTTTATATATATATATATATATATATATATATATATATATATATATATATATATATACGGAAAAGATCAGGTCCAGCCCTCCTCTGTCCGGCCGCCGGCCGATCTCCGCTGTTTGGGGCGGTTCCCGGCGGAATTTTTTGATGAAATTTTTTGAGCATGTTCCTCATCAAATCTAGTTTGTTCATACCAAATTTCAGCTCAAAATTTGATCGGGAAGACATTCAAATAATTTGTTGAAGTTGACCGCGTTTTTATATGTATATTTTGGCAGTCAACTTTAGAAAAAGGATTTGAATGCCTTCCCGATTGAATTTTGAGCTGAAATTTAGTATGGACAAACTAGACTTGAAGAGGAATATGCTCAAAAAAAATCATCAAAAAATTCCACCGGGAATTGCCCCAAATGGCGAAGTTTGGACGGCGGCAGGACAGGGAGGGCTGGACCTGATCATCTCTCTCTACACACACACGCGCACACACACACATATATATATGAAGAAATAAAAGATCGAACTTGACTAGCTAGTGTATTCAATTAACTCAAACTCGAGTCAAGTTTGATTCAAGTCATGTTCAATTCAAGCATACTATCAAGTAGCTTGCAAACTACTGCACACTACTTGAATCTCATACACCCCTAAGAAATACTAGTCATGTTTTCTTGCTCACTGCTTCTAGAAATAGCTTCAAATTAATTTGATCATGTTATCATGTAACCGGCGGTTTAAAAAAATGTCTTTTTTACTAATGCTCAAAAGTCAAAACAATATTACCTCATGGGCCACTGATCAAAGAGCAAGTAGACCTTGGGTAGAGATTACCCCATTTCAACAATATTAAGATGTGGATAAAGATAAACAGGCAGTTTGATATTTGTAAATTAATGGGGGGAGGGGGAGCTCGCTCACTTCAAAGGGATAAGAGCTGTGGCTGTAGGTGGATGAGGAAGTGAAGAACCGCGCATCAGGAAAGCAGCACCGGATGCACTTGTCTGATGACAGCAGCGTTCTCAAACGTACTAAGGCGGAGGCCATTGTTTCAAGGGGTTAATTACCTAACAAGGAACATGAAAGGGATAGGAAATGAAGGAGCGTTTATCTTTTGATTCAAGGACGGGGAAAGAGTTTATTTCAATCCCATCCAACCAAACCAAAAATTGATACTCGGTGCTTGGGTTGGTTTCTATGTGATCAGCCTTATCAACCAACTTTTTCGTCAAACACGTAATTTTTGCTTTCTCGCGCCGAATTATGTAATAAGCAGAAACAATAAAATTGCAGTTATTTTTCTGACTGTATTGGCTGAAGTTGCTACAGATGACCATTTTAGCTTTTTTTACATATAATTTTTTCTTCATTTTATTAATAAAACATATTTTAAAAATATTTTTTTCTTGAATCAGCAAAATCAGTCAATGTTGTCACTTCAGCCAGAACTTCATAAATTTTAGTAGAATCAGCCAAAATGGCCAATTTTTGTGCTACCAAACAGACTCCTAAGCGGGGTTTATTCTGCTTAAACTCCAAAGGGTCAAACAAATCCCGTATTTGAATTCCAAACTTAAAAAACTCCGCATCCGGGACTCAATAAAAACATTCAGAGCCCGTTTGGTAGCACGAAAATAAGCTGATTTGGCTGATTCCGCTGAAATTTATGAAGTTCTGGCTGAAGTTGCTGCATTGGCTGATTCTGCTGATTTAAGAAAAAATTATTTTTAAAATATATTTTATTAATAAAATAAAGAAAAAATTATATGTAAAAATAGTTAAAATTTGTCATCTACCGTAACTTCAGCCAATACAACCAGAAAAGTAACTCCAACCTTACTTTTTCTGCTTATTACACAATTCAACACGCAAAAGCGAAAATTACGTGTTTGGTGAAAAAAATGGCTGATAAGCTGAAAAATAGTGTTACCAAACGGCCTCTCAATTTCATTTGTTACAGGTCACGTTCCGGTCAAATAAGTCCCTGAACCCGACAGAATCGTTCAATTTACCCAGTGAACCCAAAAGAATATCAAAATTTCGAGAAGAAAAAACAAAGGATTATTAGCTTATTTTATCTCAAACTATCATTAAATTCACAAATATATCATATTCTTTCACTTTTGTCAAAAATAGACTTAAACTTCATCTTTTTCAACAATTATGCTTTTCTTTTTTATTTTTTTTTAAATTACACATTTTTATCAATACAATAAAATGTAAGCAATACAAGTTTGTAAACTTAAAACTAGAAAGAGGTGAAAATATGAAATTTAATATGATTTTCTTCTTAAATTATACTCCCTCCATCCCCTAAATTTGTCCTGTTTTACCTTTTCCCTCCGTCCCACTAAGTTTGTCTCATACCATATTTGGTAATATTTGAGTGGTTAGAATTCATTCTTACTTTATTCATACTTTATTAATTCAATATCATCCACACAATTCTATTTTTTCTTAAAAACCACACCACACCACACCTTTTTTTTAACCCGGAAGGCAAACCACCAAAATCAGTGGGGTAAACGTTGGGGAACGTTTACTGGGTTTTATTAAAATTAAACAAAGAGTACAAAAAAGAGGGGGACTAGGCCGAGACCTCTCTAGGAGGCATTCCTCCTAAAAATACATGAGATGAAAGCAGATAGAAAATAAAAACATTGGGGGGGCTAGGCCTTACCCAATGTAATACAATCAAGAAAAGAAATAAAAGCAAAACGTAAAATTCCGGGAGACTAGACCTTACCCGAAAACAAAAGCAGCCTTAAAAAACTAAATAAATTGCAATGACGAAATACCATATAAGTCCATAGTATAAGCCCTCTTGGCCAGAGTAGGAAGGCTATTCGGGCTGTTAATAATCTGAATTGGGCTATTAAAACCACACTACACCTCTTTATCCCAAACTTAGGGGGACGGAGGTAGTACTAATTCATCCATTGAAAATGTAATTGTGAGAAAAGTTGAAGTTTGAGTCTTTTTGTAATGAAAGTGAAAGTATGGAATAGATTTGGGAATTTGATTATAGTTGGGGATATATTTAGTTAATAATCCAAACACAAATATAAAGTATGATACATGTTGAGGTATATTATCTCGGCCTACTACTGTTCAAGGATCCAAGATATTACCCCAGTTCAGAGCCCGGATGGCGGAGGCCATTCCAAGCCTATCAGGACTGTTTCAACCTTTGGACCCATTTCGGCCCACTTGGCCCATTAGGGTAGGTTTTCCCCTACTCCCTTTCCCCTATATATATGAGGTTTCCCACATGTTTAGGGATCCTTTTTTCCTTGGCTTCTCTTCTCCCACACCCCACTTCTCTCTAGAATAGCTTAGAACTCCATTAATGGGAGCTTCAATACTTGTACTATGTAATGGTGAGGAGAGATAAATGAGAATGAGAGGGCTTGGACATTAGCCTAAAAAGTCCCGTGATTTTCTCCCTTTCGGATTTCCACGTAAAAAGAGTTTGTTCATACACATTTATACATATATTTACTATATCGTGTTGGATTAAACTCAACAATACATGTTAAAAAGAATATATATATATAGAAAAAAGATCAGGTGAGAAGTACCCCTTAAAATGAGAAGAGAGAAGTAATCTCAGTCCTTGGATTTGCATCTGATCTTACAACGCAGTAAACTTATAGACTAAATATAGCAACTTATAACCAATAAATCATAACTTATAAAGCTCTCCATAATAATTACGAAAATGCCACCGCGTCAAAAAAAATTCCTGGTTTCCGTAATTATTTTTTCGCGGTGGCATTTTCGTAATAACTTATAGACTAAGTTATCATTTATTGGTTAAAAGTTCCTATATTTAGTCTATAAGTTTACTGCGTTGTAAGATCAGATGCAAATCCAAGGGCTGAGATTACTTCTCACTTCTCATTTTAAGGGGCACTTCTCACCTGATCTTTTGTCTATATATATGTGTGTGTGTGTGTGTGTGTGTGTGTGTCAATTATTTATAGTTTGCGGCAAATTCAAAATAAAAATAAAATATAAACTAAAACAAATCTTTAACTTTATTTTCATATTTTATAACTTCTATGTTTTTACTTGGGGGGTTGGGGGTCTGGAGTAATCAGGGCTGAAACTCACTCCATTGAATTTCAAACCCTTATATGCCTAGCGGGTTTCGAATTCGAGACCTCCCACTAGACACAGTAACCTTACAACCAGTTGGGTTGGAATGCTTGGTTATTTTATAACTTCTACGTATATTTAAATAATAGACAAAGCACTTTTACCAAATATATTTAAATTTTTATTTTATGCATTATATCTAATGGTTTGTTTTACAAAAAAAAAATCTAATGGTTTGTAATATAACACAAAATTTAGGTTTTTGGTTTGATAATTTATACTTCATAATTTTAGTATGAAACATTATGTTTACATTACCCATTTTTATATTTTTTTTTATTTCATATTTTTTAATTTATTTAAAAATATAATAAAAATATATTACTTTTATGTAACCATATTTTTTTCAAAGTTTCTAATTACACTTTTTTATATCAATAATAATATAAACATTACTCCAGATCTAAGAATTACAATATAAAAATAGTAAATGCATATTTATATTATTTATTTTATTTATATGATTTATTATACATATATATATATATATTAAATTAATTTTTTATGTATTATATACATGAAGTACTACATACTAATTATGTGTACTTTATACTATATAAAATAAGCTAATATATATACAATCATATGTGTGTGTGTGGCGGGCACACATACATGTGTGTTGTATGTAGGGTTGGGCACGGGCCGGGTCGGGGCGAGTAATGCAAAATAAAATGGAACCGCCGGTTCCATTGTACGGTCCGGTCCGGTCCGGGTATTGCAATTTTCAAAATAGGAACCGGACCTTACCCGGCCCATTTGAAACGGGTCGGTTCGGTCCGGGTTTTACGGTTTCTGTTCCCATGTCTTAAAAGTAGTAAAAACTCACGAAGTTCCAAAAACAATAATCAATAATATAGTAAATTAGCAAGTTTCAAAATAACAACATAGTGGTGCACATGTAACACAAATGACAAGTCCAATACTTCATAACTTCATGTATCCAAGTTCCAAACAATTAAAGAAGTTCCAAAAATCAGCAACATAGCCAAAATACATATTTTCTAACATTTGAATTTAAACATATTGTCTAACATCACATCTTAAGGTGTTTTTTTTAATTAAATTTTCATTATTAGCCAAAGTTGACACATACATGGGGGTGGTAAGCACAATTTATATATTTTAAGAACAATATTTTTTTTGAAGAAATTTGAAGAACAATATTATAAAAACAAATATTACAAAATTATTTTTAACAAATAATTAAATTCTGTAGAAAGGAATAATTCAATAACAATAAAAAGTAATAAGAAATTTGTGTAAAATGTAAGCAGTAATTTGAAAACAAAAGGATGTTACTGCAACTCAATCTAAAATCCTACTTCCAGCAAAGGGAAACAAAACTATATGAAAACCGATTATCACAAAACTATTAATAAATTAATATATATAACAGGCTGGGCCGGGTACCCGGCATTTGTTTGTATTGGAACCGGCCGGTTCTTTAAAAAAATTACCCGGCTCTACCCGGACCGTTTTCTAGCAACAAAAATGGAACCAACCCATTTTGGACCCGAACCGCCATTATCCGGACCGGGCCGCGGTTCCAAGCCCTGTTTGCCCACCCCTACTTGTATGTACATGTAACTATTACACTTTTTACAAAAAAAAACAAAACAAAATATATAATTAGGAAATAAAGTTCAAGAATTAATTTCTTTAAGTTTATATTTTATTTCTTTATTTTGCATTTAATTAAAAATATAAATATTTCATATTTATATTTTATAAATTCCACTTATATTTTTATTTATTTTTTTATTTCTATTTTTTCATAATTTTGACGTTTTTTTAGGGCTTAGGGGGTGAATTGAATGATTCAATCCGGTTCAAGAGCTTATTTGACCCTTTATAACCTCAAATTTTTTTATAAGGTCTTTTTTTTTTTACTTTTTCCCACTGGCAACCCCAATTCTCTAGTTTTCTCCCCCACCATCCGTACCCCCAACATATCAGATAAACCTTCCTGATAACACTAACACTAGCATTGATTTATAAATGCAAACATTAAGAACTCCCTGAACTACTTCTACCTTGTTATGCGTCACGTGAAAAATTTAAAGGCTATCATATGCAAAGAGTGTATGTGAAAATCTAGGGGCTCCTCGAGCAACCGCCAATCCATGGATTCTACTTGCTTCATCCTGTCTCCAAACAAGAGCACTAAGACCCTCCACAACCAAGATGAATAAATAGGGAATAACGGATCACCTTCGCACAAACCCCTAGTCGGAGTAATAGGCCCAAATCCCTGCCGTCAAAGGGAATCAAATAAGAGACCGAATTCACGTATTCCATCATCAATTGTGTCCACCTTTGAGAGAAGTCAAATGACCTTAATATGCCTTCTAAAAAGTTCGTTCAACTCTATCATACGTCTTGCTCATGTCTAATTTTAAGCCAACACATCTTACCTTACCTTGTCTCTTACGTTTCAAAAAGCGGTATGATAAAAAAAATATGGATGTCTTTCCCACCGTCTCCACTGCTCCCAACACCATCACCTCCGATCTGTGAAAAAATGCTAATTTTTTGAAAATACCAAGAAAATGACATTTTAGTCTTCAATAATGTCAAAAATTTCATTGAAACAACCATCAATATGACATTACTTATGCATGTTGACATTTTTTTCTGGTGACCGGGGCTGGTGGTGTTGGGGGTGGCAGAGGCGGCGATTGGTTTTTACGTTTTTTAATTTTCTTTTTAAGAACTTTTATTTTTTATTTATAATTTTTTTTTACTGTTTTTTTATTTTTATTAATTTTATTAAATACTACCTCCGTCCCGGAGACAAGTTCCCACTTTCCTTATTTGGATGTCTCAAAATAAACTTCTTATTTCCCTAAATGGAAAGTTATCCTACATAAAAACAGTGCAAAATAGTGCCAAACATTGCCGAAACAGTGCCAAACAGTGCCGAAACAGTGCCAAACAGTGTCGAAACAGTGCCAAACAGTGTCGAGACAATGCCAAACAGTAAAATTTACCCCTCAACAACTTTATTTCCTTGAAATGTGTGAAAGTCAACCCGGGAACTTGTTTCCGGGACGGGGGAGTATATATTTTAGTCCAAAAGGTTATAAGAGTATATTTATCTAAACACATATAATTAGTTATAGGAAATTTAAAACAATGTGGTCCTAAATTCCAATTTTTTATTATGTTTTCTTTTGGACTGGAATTTGCTGGTCTGGTCTGATCTGGTCTAGTCTGGTCTGGTAAACATATGGTCTATGTGTATTTTATAACTACGGAAATCTAGTCTGGTCTGATCTGGTCTGGTCTGGTTTGGTCTGATTTGGTCTGGTCTGATCTGGGACTGAAAACAATCAAAAAGAAAATATACTCAGGGGGTGTTTGGAACTGATTCTGCTTCTGCTTCTTTTTTAAAAGCAGAAGCAGAATCAGAATCAGTTTTCAGAAGCTGGCTTCTAAAAAAACTGATTCTGAGAGCAAATTAGAGCTCCAGAAGTGCTTCTGGAATTTCACCCAAACATTCCAACTTCTGCTTCTTCCCCTGAAGGAGCAGAATCAGTTTTGAGAATCAGATCCAAACACCCCCTCACTCTCACTTATGGAAGGTCTCAGCCTCTCAGGTTGTGAGATTGATCCCAATTTACAGACCGAGTACAAAAAAGATTAAAAAAAAAAATCATTCTCTTTTATTCTTGTCCATGATAGCATGCTTTATCCTTAGATCCAATAATGCATGATTTGCGAGGTTGTAAGTTGTAATGGCGGACCTGGCGGTTCGATCAACATGGACACACAAAAGAATAATTCCATACGTTTTCCTTTGGCATTATATGTTTATGATACAAAATAATATTGAATTAGAATAAAATCCTAAGGATCAGGGTTTTGGGCTTTAGGCCAATGTTTATTTGATTATTTCTGTAGTAGCGGGTTGAAGCGGATATGGCGGAGGAGGAAGTCATGGCTAAAGGAGAGCTTTCCAACTCATGTTGCACTGCTGTATGTTTGATTGTTTCATTTTCTTAATTATTATTTTTCTCCTAGTTTTATTGAATAGAATATGCAATTTATCGATTTAGGTATTTGCAGTGGAAGGAAAAATACTCCAAGTTGAAGGAGAGGTATTCTAAGTCCGAAGAAGGCCGCAAAGCCCTTCGCAAGGGGTGTCAATATATGAGCTGCAGATTTCCAAGATGCAATCCGAGAATCTCACTTTGAAGAAGGGTATGTGACTCAACTGAATTCATTTTTCAGTAATAAACCTGCCCAGTTTGTTCATGGTTTAATTCTTGATAGACACTCAAAAGGAAGAGTTGTTTCACTGATATATTGTGTTATATAACTTATATTCATGTGGAGTAATTCTTAAAACTTTAGGCTTTTATCTTGAACTAATAATTAATCATCAGCTTCTTTTAATAGCTTTTGTTTATTTCAGCTTATGAGAGCGAGAAAAAACAGGCAGAAAATGAAAGAAATGGCAGAGAAAAAGAATCTGCTCTGCGAGCTTCCTTGGAGAGTGAAGTGGATGCTCTAAAGACCAATGTTCTTTCGTTGCAGCAAAATCCGGGTCCTGTCATTGAAGATTTGGAAAGAGAAAAGGTACAACTTCAGCGATTTCTTTCAGAAAAGGATGCAGAAGTTAGCCGACTGAAGGAGCTTCTTGAGAATGAGAGACTCAGAGCAGATTCAGAGAAAAAGAAAGCCAATGCAGAGAGGAAAAAAGCTGACGAATTAAGGAAAAAGTTGAAAATTGAGAAAACTAAGGCCGGTGAAGAAAGGAGGCTAGTTGAAAGTGACAGAAAAGAGGCTGAAGAAAATAGGCTCAAGCTGGAGGCTGCGATGAAGGATGCTGATGAAGTTAAAATGAAGTTGGCATTGGAGACATCAAAAGCAGCAGAGATGAAGAAGAAATTGGACACAGAAATGCAAAACAGAAAGCAAGATAGAAAACGGGCAGACTCATCTATCTTGAAAGCTGCAGAGCAAACAAAGCTTGCTGATACAAACTTGAAGATGGCAATGGATGAAAAACGTCGTGCTGACGATTTATCACAGCAGCTGGACCAGTATAACCAAAGAATTGAGATTTTAAAGAAGGAGATAGTTGAACTTAAGTCGCCTAGGATATTAATTGATAACATATCTGATAAGAAGAGCGAAGCAGCAGAAAAACTTGCCCATCCAGAGATAGTAAAGCAGTTAGAAGATCAGAAAAAAGTTCTCGAGGCATACAAGAAAAAGGCATCAAAGGAAATGCATCGTGCAGACCAGTTATCATGTGACGCAAAGGATTACAAGAAAAGGTTAGGAGAGCTACAAAAGGAAATCAATTCCCTTGTTTCCTCCAGATCAATTGCTGAATCTGCTCTTCATTCACATGATAGAAGTTTGAAATGTCAAACTGCTAAAATCAGTTTCTTGGAGAAGCAACTGAAGTTGGAAAAGATGTTGGTAAAGCACTCAAAAGGAGCCGCAAAGCTTGAAAAAGCTCGTAATGGCATACTAAAAGAAGAATTATTGCTCTTAAAACAAGATATTTCTCAGTTTTCAAAGCGCCTGAATTTATTGGATGATTATTTCATTTGCTCTGATGAAGCTATTCATGATCTAGAAAAGGTTTTTTTTATGCACGCTGCTATGGAAAAGATGTTTTTCGTTTTGAAATGAATATTTATGTCATTCCTCTTAGGTAGTAGGCTGTATTATTGTACTGTGTACTAAATTTCCCATTGATGGCTATATGAATTAGCAAATCACTAGACTAGTATTTTGCCTTTAAAAAAGATACTAAATTTCCCATTGATGGCTATATGAATTAGCAAATCACTAGACTAGTATTTTGCCTTTAAAAAAGATGCTTTTGTTGGCTACCAAAAAAGACTAGTAAGTAAGCTGTTAGAAGTACTATCCATAGCATGTTTTTTGTTGTGTTAAAAAGAGTTTGGAATCATTTTTAAAAAATCCAATGGCCTTGTCTTGATGATTTTCTACATTGCAGGAAGAACTAAAAAATCAACAATTCGGTATTGAATCATATCAGATGCATTCTCATCTCAAAGATGGGTTTGCTCTAATGGCTGCTGCTGATGAAACTGATTCATTCAGGGAAAATGTAGATGAAGGCATTGCACCTGTGCTTGCTATATCTGGAGTAAATGGCACTAGTAGCTTTTCAGGTATTAATTCTGAATTGGAGCCTTTGCTTAAAGGGGTTAACAAAAAAGTGTTACAGAGTTCTGCCATAAATTCCTGTTCGACATCTTTTTCTTATAGACCATTGGTCGGCTCACAGGAAAGACATTCTTCTGGCACCAGATCAGATAAGTTTGCTGAAAATAAATCCAACCCAAAAGAGAAGTGCAATGAGAATCTTGCAACAATTGTGGAAAGTGGTGTCAAAATTCCTGTTATTGATACATCTACCAAGAGAAGCAGTCGACATCATAAGAAAAGGAAGAGGTCTATTGATGCTATTTGCAGTTTGCAGTCTAAGAATGAGCCACAACAGAAACAGGTACTTTTTCTGCATTCTGTGTCAGAAAATCAAACTGATAAATCTGAAAGCACTAAAGCGTGCTTGCTTCCTCGTGTGGAAGATGGTATTGGCAGTTTTCATGATAGATCTCATAAGAAAAGAAAGGTTTCTTCTGAAAAACTTCAGAAGTGTCATGTGAATGATGCCGATAGGGTAAAGGCAAACCTCAAAGTGTTGGGTATGCAAGAGTATAGTTTCCTTGCAAATTCCATCCCACCTGTTCATCATCACAGTGGAACTGCTCATAACGGAAAGGATAGGAGTGATACACTTGGAGATTTTGAGTTACTGGTTGGAGATGACTACATGAAACTGCTTGATTTGGATAATAGTGTAAATGAAGAATCTTATCGTTTGGCACTCCAAATGCCTTTGTCACCTGAACTTCCAGAGATCAAGTGTGAAAGCAGTGCACGTGTATCAAGTAACTCTAATCTCTTATTAGATAATAATAATAATTCTCTCGGGGAATTTTCACATATGAAGGGGAGCCTTTCTCCACTGGAGCACTTTGATGTCCTTGATTTGGAAATCAACTCAAATAAGGCAACACATGGTACCATAGGGAATTCGAAAAAATCATTGTCACCAGAGATTAGCGATCATGCTGATACATCTAGCTACATAAATGGTAATGGAATTGGTTGCCCTAAAATTTTGCAGGCGCATATATCTAATTCTGTCAGTGAACCAATGAGTACAGTTGATGTATTAGCTTGTGCCAATGAGAGTTCAAAGGTTTCAAGTGGTAGCAGAGACCCACCCCCATGTCATGGTATACCAAAGTGTTGTGTTGTGTTTTTTGATAATGACAAAGTGGAAAGCATTTCCACAGTATACTCGGCAACCAAAAACTTCATGAATCAGTGTTCAACAGTTTCAGCATCAAATCTGTATCTTAGGAACATTCTCATTTTCATTTCAGGTGCTCAAGATCTTTCAGCCAAGTAAGCCATTTACACTTCGTACCTTTCATCCATGCATCCATTACCCTTTTTAAAATTATTTTGTTGCTTTCCATTATCAAAGGTTCTGCTGTTATTGATGTGATATGCCTAGGCTTTGTGTATTCTCTATGAAGTTGACCTTCTCTAGGGATAGTGATAACCATCCATTCTCGATATGTTTATTTCATTATTCTCTGCTAGGAGTGCAAGGTTTGCATTGAAGTTGTGGGGTTTGAATGTCTTGGAAACTTAATACTTACTAAGTAAATTGATATCAGGGATATGTTTATAACTTTTTTCTGTAGCACTCACAGGTGCACCTGGTTAATATATTGTACATCTTATATAGATTGTGCTGGAATGATGGATTATGAGTCATATCTGTCTTCTGCTGGACGTCTCTCCTTTAGGTGGTTCTTATTAAATACTGGGAAAGTTATATGGAGTAGTTAATTAGTTATGATGTTCTACATGAGGAATCCATAACATTGTAACAGTTGTTTAATAGGAAAGCTTATAAACAAAACTAAATTAAGAACATCCCACCAAGGTTCGAAATTGCGAATTGCGTAGTCGTGGCGTTTTTTTAATATTGCATATTGCGTAAGCCTCATTGCGCAATGAGGCGTATAGCTGAGGCGTAATATATATATAAACATAATAAAAAATAAACCATAGAATACCAAAACATTCTGAATCATTTATCAAAACAAAAATCTAAGATATGAAAATTTAAATTAATTAGATTGATTGACTGAAAAATTCAATCAATAACTACTGGTTTGAAATAGGGATCATAAGATCAATTATAAAAATTTAAAAGTGGGCCGAGTGGGCCCAAATAATACCCTTACACCCTGACCTCCTATTGCGTACGCCTCAGAGCGCCTTATTGCGTATCCAATATTGTGTACGCCTCAGTGCAATATTGCGTACATCACACTCCCAGCGCCATATGCAATGCCTTTTACGCCATAGTCCAGGAATTAGCTGAGGCGCGCCATGAGGCGCAATTGCATTGCGCAATTACAAACAATGCATCCCACTAAATGCGGTCTAGCAACACAATTTATTTAGGTTGAGCTCTATCTCCTCTGTAAGCTTCATACTGATGAGGTCACTTTTAATGGGTTCTTACCAAGTCATTTAGGTCTTCCTGTACTCCTCTCAAGATGTGTTTTATGCCTTCAAAACATTCTAATTTGTGTGGCCTTCGGACTCAGAACACGGCAAAACCATCCTAAGTGGCTCTTTCTTGCCACCTCCTCCTATTGGGGTTTTCCGTACTTCCTCTCTTATCTTGTTGCCTCATTACTAATTCCGTCTTTCCTAGTTTAACGCTCTCATATAATCATATCAACACTGTCATCTCTTCCTTCAAAATGTTGTGAACGTGTTGATATTTAACCGCCCAACAGTCCTAGCCACGTTATATACTTATATATAATGTCTAATAGCTATAATATAGAACCTCCCTTTTGTCATAAGTGTTACCTTCTGATCGCACAAGATTCGCTATGCATTCCCTTACTTTGTGTTTCTTGCTTTTGTTCTACGCTCAATGTCTGTATTATATTCTCCATTCAGTTGGACCTTACAGAGTTGTCATGGTGTATGGCAACAACCATGGTGATAACCCAGTTTCCCTTAACGATGGACGGCCCATTTATGGACACACAATAATAAGTATAGATTTGAACAATAGACAATATAGTTCTAAGATTGAAGCACCAAATGTGAGGACTTGATCATATATCTTTTCCAAGTCAATAAACACTATGGGTAATTCTTTCGATTTCTTCAATGGTCCTTGATTAGTGTCCTTAGTAAACGTTTAGTTTTCATTTTTGATCTCCCAGGCATGAAGCCAAATTGCGTGTCTGACATTCTTGTATTGTAAGTCTCCTTCCGCTTACTCTTTTTCAAAGTTTCCTAGTGTTGTACGACAGTTCAGTAACTGGTAAGTAGCACTATCTTGTTATTCCTCTGTTTTACTACGTAATATATTGACAATAATGTACTATGTTACATGCATCTGAGTCCTTACTCTAGAAATTACAATGAGAAGTCTTGTTATCCATGTTATGTTCTCATCACTCATGTGTGTTCTTAACCTCTATAGTAGTTATATCATATAAATGGTTATTTATATAAGTTTTTTCATTTACTGGAGTCTTCATAAATCATCAATGGGTAAGTCCATGCAATTTTCGACGCATTTTTTATCAGGAGTCATCCGGAAACAGTCTCTTTGTGCTTTAGCACAGGGGTAAGGCTGCGTACATCCGACCATCCTTTACCCCACCACCTTAGGTGGGAGCCTTTGCGGAACTGGGGTAATGTTGTTGTTCGACTGAAATCTTCATAAATGAAGTTACATGGTTACCTCTTGGACTTCATTACAATCAAGTTGAATCCTCACTGGTGCGGTAGATGAATATTCTTTTGATACTACCTTTTATCCTCCCAGTGAGTATGCGGTGCTTTTGGTAGAACTGCCTTGATGTGTGAATCAAGTTATACTATCGTCTCATCGTCCTCGCTGATTTTTCATTTTAGCTTGAATACCATTGCATATTGTCCTACTGAGGATTCAAAGGTTGTTCTATCTATATTATCCTTGTTTGAGATTGAGTGTTTGGTGCTTTGATCCAATTATTTTAAATATAGACATGGAGAAACAAACTGCTAATATTTCCTCTATTTTACTGATCCTGTCAGAGAAAAAGCATCAGTGTTTTTGTCAGTCTTGCTGCACTACATTTCAGAAATGGAAACAAGTGATCTCCACAATGGTTGGGATAGAGACTCGGTCCTGCTTATTGCGTCTTTTGCTCATCACATATGTACAGGTTCTTGTCATATCCTGCCTTCATGTGATAGTATAGCGTTTGCTATCTGCATATTTTCCATTTTTCATGTTGATCAATTTGTAATGGCTACGTTACATCTATTTGCAGTGCCCTCTGACGTGAACAATGGTATGACTTTTGATGAATCATGGAATTTGTATGAGCTGCTTTCACTTTTAGAAGACTTCATCTTGCATATAGAAGTTCTGATGTTTGATAATGTCTGTTCTGATTCGAAATCTTCAAAGGTTTCTAGGATCAACCTTGTTGTGAATGCTAATGGTGTACGCTTCGTTAATCAAGAAGCTTCCATAAACATGTCAGTGGCTGGATGCATTTTGTTAGCTTCTTTATGTGCTGAAGTTGACCACATTGGTTTCATTTGTGAAGCATCATTCAATACTCTGAGGATGTTAAAATCGGACCCTTCATTCGTGCTAACTGTTCTCCATATCTTTGCCTATGTATGTGGGCCCAAGTATTTTGGCATCAAACAGTATTGCTTTGTAATGGCTGTAGTAAGATCCATGGTTAAGTTCCTCGAGAAGCTTAACCCTCCTGACTGCAGTTCCTGCTTTACATCTTTGGCTGAGGATCTGTCTAAGTTATGGTCAGGCAGCAATTGCCTATTTTCAGAAGGCACATCTTCTGTGGATGGCGGCACATCTTCTATGGATGGCGTCACATCAATGCTCCTAGATAATCTTCAGAACTGTATCTGGTCCAGTACAAGGCAAAAGGTTAAAGTTATCCATCCTTCAATTGATGGAGAAAAGAATGATACAGAGAATATGGACATTTCTGCTGCTCCAAGAACGGCGGACACGCCATACTGTGTTACTGATGATGGCAATGGGTGCTTCTTGACTGATGTCCTTGCATTAGTTGAACTTGTATCTTGTTACATGGTATGCTTCTTAAACCCATCACTCTGATTTTTTGCATTATTCTTGCAATTTGAATCCTTTTACACTCCAATATAGTATTGTCTTTTGGAGGACGATTCTAGTTGGGGAATACAAAGCACTTCAACTTTCCAAAGAGTGTAGATAGACATTTTTGTCCACTTGACATGTGTGGTTGGGGCTTTGTTGGCTGTGTAAATGATGGGCGATGGGAATTCCACTTGTTCCTGGCTCAGATGAGGGTGGGTAAAAAAATCCACCCTTTTCGTGTATTGGATGAGAATTCCAATATGTTAATTTTTATGTATAAAAAAGTACATTTGTAATTAATAATCTGCTACCTCTTCAGATTTGCCGCATTGCTTAGTCTCTCTCTGATTTCATTCAAAAAACAATCATCTTGATTCCTAGTTTATGTAATGGAACTACTCACATGTTTCCTGCAGAGCTGGATTTGGACTGTTGAAAATATCGTGCGCCCTGTGTCCAAAATGATGGAATCGTGCCCATTGGAGCATGTACCTGCAGCTATTCTGGTTCTTCTTGCCCAACTTGGAAGGTATTTCAAAGAATTTGAGGATATTCTCTATTTAACATGCTTTTATCTCATTGTTGTTCTTGGTTAGATGGTGGAATTGAACAACTTCTTGGGTGCTTTACATTTTTTGCGGCACAGCGTTTTTTCAGTTTAAGTATTGTAGGATTGACCATTCACACATAGATTGTCAAAGAACCTTAATGACCATGAATTTCGTACACCCCAGATTCCCCCACAAAGTATCTCTCTTCCCTATCCTGTTTTCATTATAAGCATTAGTTTGATGTCCTTTTTTTCTGTAATGAATTTGCATGGGAAAATGATATTTCTGCTAACTTGTGTTTGATGTTCTGTAATTGTCATGCTTTCTGTGGGAGCACGTTTCTATTCTGTTTGGCATATCATGTGAATATTAATTTATATATTATCAAACACTCTACAGGTATGGAGTTTCAGCTAATGGATATGAAGATATTACAATCCAGAACTTGAGAGATTGGTTATCAGCTTTGCTCTGTGGGTGTGATCCTAAAATAGTCAGTCATGAGATTCAGTTTTCCATTGCCATTGCTTTACTGGGCGTAGTTCCTCTCAACTTTGCAGAGATTGTGGAAAGAAATGCTGAAATTCCTGGATTTGAAAGTCAGTATCAAGCTACCATTTGCTTAAGGAAATGGTTTTCACTGTTGAGCAATGAAGAGCAGTTGTCTTTTAAGCATGTGGTTTCCTCAAGTGAATGTCTCCAAAATGTACACATTCCTCTTGTGAAATGATTAACATATAGGAAGGAGAGGGGGTGTGTTGGACTAGTGTTTGTTTTTCTTAGTGCTTCTGTAATAGACAGATAGCAAGTTTCCATGCACATGGCGTCAAAGTATGGATTTTTTTAATCAACCTGCTTTGATTAGCCCAACATGTGCTTTAGCCCAAAAGTTGAGGGCACACATTTGTGTGGATGATTGATCTCTTTTTTCATTTCTATTTTTTCTCATAATAATTCCAACTATTACTGGTCCGCTAACAATAATCCCAACTATCGATTATTTTTGTATAATCCCAACTATATATACCGTCCGCCCATAATGGTCCATGATCGGAGGATATTAAATGCTATAACAAGTGCGTTTTAATAGAAATTAAGCGTAAATATTAAAAGTTAGTATTATTTATAAAAATTACTTGCTATATCTCTTCCCATCCATTTTAGAAACTATAAGAATTTATTTATAGTTGGTCATGTCGGACCATTATTGGCGGAAGATCCCTAAAGTTGGAATTACTTCTGAAATATTTTATCTTCTAGGTTTTTTATGCTCTTTTATCTTTTACTCTTTTATCTTTCTTATATTCTTATACTGAGTAATCTTCCGGTCAGGTATACCTGACCGAAGCCGCCGTCCGGCCTCCTCCTTTTGGGGGCCTTCCCGGTGGTATTTTTTGCTCAAATTTTTTTTGTATGTTCCTCATCAAGTCTAGTTCATCCATACCAAATTTCAGCAAAAAATTCAATCGGGAAGGTCGTCAAATGATTTTTTCAAGTTAACTGGTCCGGAAAATACATATTCCGGACCAGTTAACTTGCAAAAATCATTTGACGACCTTCCCGATTGAATTTTTTGCTGAAATTTGGTATGGATGAACTAGACTTGATGAGGAACCTACACAAAAAATTTGAGCAAAAAATACCACCGGGAAGGCCCCCAAAAGGAGGAGGCCGGACGGCGGTTCCTGTCAGGTATACCTGACAGGAACATTTGTGTTCTTATACTATTATTATCTTATATTTATTTATTTTTATCTTATTTGTTTTATCATTTTTTTCTTCTTATCTGTCTTCTCTTTTTGGCATCGATATCATGGATCGGTTCATTTTAGCAGACTCCAAAATCTTTTGGGATTAAGGTTTGGTTGTTGTTGTGGTGAAAATGATGTCACCGATTGTGTAAAAATGATGTGGAGCAAGGGAGTGTTTGGAACTGATTTTGCTTGTGCTTCTTTTTAAAACCAGAAACAGAATCAGAAGCACTTTTCAGAACCTGGTCTCCCCTAGCTTCTAAAAAACTGTTTTAGGAGTAAATTAAAGCATCAGAAGCACTTCTACACTTTCACCAAAATACTTCAACTTTATGCACTCTGAAGGAGTAGAAGCAGTTTTAATAATCAATTTTAGTATGGAATGGACTCTTATATGATTGGTTACTCTCATGTTTCATAATGAATTATCATCCTACTTTTGCTCTAGTTCTTAAGTTCTTTCATGGAGTGTAAGTACTCATGTTTTTGAAGAATCGATCTCTCATTTTTCAATGATTACTTTGCGGTTACGTAAACAACATATTTCTCTTTTTAGTTCTCAATTTTTTATCCGTTTCATTTTTTTCCTTCTATATATTCTTATCTATATATTTCTTTTTTTTTTCTTTTGAGTATCTCTCATGTTTTTGCATGCTCTTATTTTTTTTTTTTGTGATTGATCAATAATTAAAGAGATTTTTACATAAATATTATGTAGCAGCCCACTATAAGTGCACTACCTTGGGCCAAAAGTGGAGATTGTTAATATATTGTTGGCCCAAACGTTTTTTGTATATTCATAATGGTCAACACACTTTCTAGCAGCCCACTACACTGTACCCATTTATCTATCTGGCCTTCGATATTGCCTCTCCCGTTAGATTTGAATTCAGCTCATTATTGAGCTAGAGATGAGTTGTGTGTGCAGTGTATTATTTGAGTGTCCTTGTGAGCCCTTCTAATAAAGCCAAATGCTTCCCTGTTATAAGGACACTCCCTGCCCCTTTGTTCTGCGAGTGAAACACACAGAGAGTTTCCTCCTTCATTTCTTCTTGGTGAGTGAGAGTGTTTGTGAAGCCATTATCCTTCTTGGTGAGGTGAGAGTCCTTCTTGGTGAGGTTAGTGTGAGTGTTGGCGAGGTTAGAAAGGTGTGTTGCTCCCTTGGCCTAGGTGTGCACAAGAGACAACCGGAAAACCGAGCACCGGACTGCCTAAGCCGGAATACGGCGACGGAATCGATCCTCAACAGTGGTATCAGAGACAGGTTCTTCCCTCCGCCGCCGTCCACCTCCGTCCGCCGCCGCCCGTCGATTCAAGGTCCTGGAGGTCGCTGGACACCTGCTGAAGCTTCGCTTGACCTTGTTGCTACTGGAAGCGCGCCGCTGCAGGTAGTTTCTCGCCGCTAGGAGATCCGTCCGCCTGGAGCTGGTTCGCCGGAGGTCTCTCGTAGCCAGAGCTTGGAAGCCTGGGAGCCGTTGCCGGAGATAGCTCGCCGCACGCTGCCGCACGCCGTTGTTCGAGGTTGCTGGTCGTTGATTGAAGACAGTGAAGGTCTTATCAGGACTCGTCCTCGCCGACCGTCGCTTGTGGTATTGCTCGCCGCCGCAGGTTGTTGCTCGCCGGTTGCATCCGCCGATTTGTTCTTCGCTGGAGCCTGTTCGCCTGGGAGCCGTCGTCTGCCTGAAGATCGTCGCCGGTCACGGAGCTCACTCACCGCTGCTGCAATTGCTCGTCGATTGCTGGACCTGGTCACAGAAGCGGGGTTGGCTTCTCGCGTAGAAGAAACGCAATATGTGGTCCTGCACGCTTGAGTCTTGTAGCAGTGAGCTCTGGGCTTGAAGCATTGGGCTGGACTGTTGGATTTGGGCTGCTAGGTTGCTGAAGGATCACTGAAGGGGAGCCTGAACGCTTGGAGTTGCTGGAGCCTTGAACAAATTGAGCTAGACTTGGGCTGTTTGGTTTGCTGGAACGCTGGCAGTCAACTCAAACTGGTTGCTCAATCCTTGGACTGGTCAACGGAGGCAGGACCTTGAAGCTTAAGGGCTGGGCCTAGAGCAGAGGAAAATCTCGGTCAACCTGGTCAAAGCTCAGTCAAAGGCAGGCCCGCCCCGCCCCGCATGGGGTGGGTCATGGGTCAACAAGTTTGGACCCGTGCAAGTCACGGGGCGGGGCGGACCCGGCCCGCCAAGTCACGAGGCGGGTCCGGGTCTTGCAATACCCGCCCCGACCCATTGCCATGCCTACATCCTACCCCCCCCACCCAACCCCTTCCCTACCCTGGCCCCACCCTGGTCCCGACCCCACACTACCGCCATCCTATCCCAACTCCCTACCCTACCCCTACCCCTACCTCACCCCAACCCCAAACCCTACCCACTACCCCCACCCTTACTGCCATCCTACCCCCCACCCGACCCCTTCCCTACCCCGGCCCCACCCTGGTCCCGACCCCACCCTACCGCCATCCTATCCCAACTCCCTACCCCTACCTTACCCCAACCCTACCCACTACCCCACCCTTAACCCTAACCACGACCCTAACCCACCCACTACCCCCACCCAACCCCCTACCCCTAAACCTTACCACCCCACCCCGACCATACCCCTTATCCCACCCCCACCCATAACTTCCCTACCCCGACCCCTACGAGTAGGTATGGGTGAGTATGAAGGGTTGTGGTGGAGTATGGGTAGAGTGTAAGATCGTGGTAAGGGTAGAGGTAGGGGTCAAGGGTGTGGAATTGGAGAACTGTGTGAAAAAATTGATGAACATGTTTTCAAATTTGAAAATGGAAAACTAAAAAAGAGAAACAGAAAATTGGAGATAGAAAAACTGAAAAATAAAAACAGAAAATTGGAGAACGAAAAACAGAAGTAGAAAACAGGAAAATATCTATGTTAGTAAACAAGCCCTTACTTTTCCACTAGTATATTACCCGTGCGATGCACGGGTATTATATTCCAACATGTGAATTTGTTCATCTAAATATTCGAAATTGATGTGACTTTAGCAAACAAAACTAAAATTCAAGTTAATTAAATGAATTATAAAAGATGGCAACGTTAAAGATTTACAAAATTTGAAACACTCCTTATATAGTTGGTATACCATTTAAAAAAAATGGCACCTTATCCATGAGGGCCCCCACCGCTGATCGGACAGTTAGATGGGAGGATGTAAATTAGACTTTAATCACAAGCTCACAGATAAAGAGTGAGACTCTGGTCTTGTATTTGCAGAGGCTCTATACATTTTTAGTATAGTAACCTCTGATCACAGTGACGCCCACCGATTCGGTATAACATTTTAAGTAATTACATTTGCACGTTTACCATCATTGTCATGTATAGAAATTTTCAACCAATTAAGTGTGAGCTATAATGGGTGAATAAACAATACCCGAGTATACAATTGGTCATGATTGATTTTTTTTGTTTTGCAAATAGTCTAAACATCTTTATTTTTATTTAATTTCACGCTCACCCTAATATTAGACATTGTCATGATACAAATAGAACATCGGCTTTCATTTCTTTATCATCTAGCTTGAAACTTAGTTTAGAAACATTAGTTTAAACAAATTGTGATCAATGATAAAACATTAACGTAACTACCTATAATTAATTACTTTCTCCGCTAAACATCACCTCAACGACATCCTTGAACAAATCCACTTTGTATGGAAACACCCCTCTCCTAATAAAAAATATAGAAAATTTGTCAATTTTTCTTTTTTGGTTGTTCAAGCTAAGTAACTTTGTCATTTTTTTTTAAGTAAATAATTTGTGATTCCAATTAATTCTCCCTTTTCTCCACAAACCTCAACCAACATTGTTTACTTTATTAATTCTCATGCCCGTCAAACATGATATAGTTTAAGCGACGGACATAGTAACATCGAGTATTTTTTAATTTTTTTAGATGAGCTCACATCGGATACCTGGCCGGAGTACTTGTTACGAAGTCATCGAATTAATTATCTTGCTCCCTCCTAAATGTTTGGTTTTGGAACAAAGAATACCTACCACATATATAATTGGCATTCAATATTGGTAAAAATCGAGAATCACTTACTACATGGAGCTACCCAATACATTCTCATAATTTGTAAAGTCTATCTCAATCAAAATGCTTCTCGGTTATACGATAGTATATACTATCGTATATATCTATTGTATTGTAGTTAATTTTCAGTTGTCATTATTTTATCATACTTAAAAAGAATACTCCAACACTCCGAGCC